CAAAGTGACAAAAATTCGATAGTAGGAGGGGGGGGGGGGAACAGAAGAGTGATTCATAGATATGAGAGTTAGTCACAAGGGTAAAGAAAAAGGTAAGGTATGGTGGAAGCGATCGAATATGACAAAAAGTCGGGTCATAGTAGTTTGAAATCAACTACTGGTTAATGGAATATTTTTTTGCCACATGAGTATGCATTGCTCAGGGTGCACCACGTGCAGATAAGAGTTATCGTAACCTTAGTGCACCTATTAACTTAAATTTAAGTAAATTCACACGACAAGATGATTGAGTGTAAGTGAAGAAATACTGTACTTATCAGTTTTTACATTCTTATTTTCTTTAGCCAACCGTATATGTACAGGAGTCGATGGTTCTGGATGTAGCTATCCAATATTTTATAAAGTGTTGCCTATTCTCATGGGAATTTTCACGCTCTTAACCCATGTCCTGCTTATCAACTTCCTGGTAGCAATTTTCACGTAAGATGTCGTTATTTTCTGAAATACTTTAATAACAGCGACAAGTAATTAGGTATTGATGTACAATTAAGTGAAATGAATTCAACGAGCCTTAAATTTAGTCCCAATACTTGGGTTTAGAAATCATGATGCCAACAAATGGGGAAGTGTTTTTGTTTGAGGTTACTTTGTGCAACATGAAGATGGGAGTCACAGCTTAACAAATACAAATGACTGATCTAGAATATACATTAATAAATTGGTGTTTGAAGAATAGGATGCAAGCTCGTATTGGAAAAGAATATAGCGACGCCTATTTCTCAATTATCTGGTCAGCAAGTATCTTATACTTCCTAAAAGACAGTTGGTGTCAAGGACGGTTATTTCGATTCTGATTGGGAAAAGGAAAATCTCATTTTATCTCCATTTTAGAAATGTGGAACATGAGAGCTCTAGTTCGGTTATTTGAGTATAAGTAGGCAGTGCCCAGCTACCGGTATTCACGTCAATAGAATAGCCATTTAGAAACTAAATCATATTAGACTTTTTTGTTTACTGAAGGCTGAGAAGCAGCCAAAAGCCCCATCTCGATTGAAAATGGCACTAGGTTAGTTTGACTGCGAGTTTACTGAAAAACTGGAGGTGGATGAGAGAGTGGAAAGAGGAAATAGGTGTGAAGATGGTGGGGAATTAGGTGTGCACCTTTTGCTTTTTAGTGAGCAAATTGACATTTAAGGTAGAGGTTTAAGTCAATAAACGTGCATTGCACTTTGAGACGGTGCAGGAAAATGAGTCAGCGTGCACAGGTATTTGGAGTTCAATTATTGTCTTTTCACAGATTAATGTCGAGATAACAAAGATGACAAGTTTTATTATTTATAAAAGAGAAACCTACGAGAGAATGGAGGATATGTCAGAGCAATTGTGGACCATGCAGCGATATCGAGTAACGGAATACATTCTTTCTGAATCAGTTCTACCTGGGCCCTTCCTTCCCCTCGCATTCGCCTATCAACTTATTGTGTACTTTTTTCGTCCTGAAGTTCACAGGAATGCACAAAAACAGCGAGCCTTCCGTAAGGATCACACCGCTTCGCTTTCATCCTTCTTTTATTCTCTTACAGTTTACATGACACTCTAGAAGACAGGGAGAATGAGCTCTTTATTAAATTTTCCAGACCCCAAAGAGTTAGGATTGATATCGTAGCTTTCTAATTGAATTTTTGAGTGGGTGCCCTTTTTTCAAGTGGAAACTTGTAAGGTTATGGTATAGCTTGACTATGGAAGTGCTCATCACTTCTGGTTTTGTTTGCACATTGGGAAGAGTTCGAAAATTCCTTACCTGACTGATATACTGTGACCTTCTACATCGTGTCATTCATCCTTTTTACTTCGAAAGTGCAGTGAGAAGAATGGTAGTAGATGAAGAGTCGTTGACACCACCACCGGTGAATGATATTGGAAATAAAGTTAAGGTGAGAAGCGAATAGAGAAATGAAAATGCTGGAAGAAATGGTCCTTTGGGAAAACTTGGAGGACTGAAAACATTGCAGGGGTTTATTGGAAAGATTTGCATCTCTTGCAGATAGTAGAGTTTTCCTTTTTTAAATTTGATCTACAGGGGGGGGCAGGGGGTGGGGTATTAAAAATGATGTCTTTCCATTCTGTTGAATGACCGGTCTATGCACCTTTGTCTCCATGGTTATTTAGACATTTATTTCCAGTAAACACTATCAAGGTGTAAATAGTCATGTCTTTGCATGTCTTCATCACCAATGACTATTTCCATGTAACTTGAAGGTAAATCCTTCGAGGATGACCCAGGTCGTGAACGACAGTTAATCAATTGGGAGAAATTGAGTGCACTGATTTCAATGGGAATGCATGAAGCTGAAGAGGGATTCGAGGATTCTTCAGGAAAAAATTCACATAATTCCAAGAGACGCAACAAAACGCTAACTCGAACTTTAGCTCGTTCAGGTCGTACATTGATGACTCCAACTATGGTTTTTGACAATCTTGCCACAACGAACGAAACAGCAGATGGTTTTGAGAAGCAAATCAGTAGTATTGAATCAAAGCTGGAGAAGATAACTAACATTGTGAGTATTGATTTGATTTCCTCAATATGGCAATAGATTCTTGTTATAATGCAGTCTAATCTGACAACACATATTTGTTTTTTACCCTTTGTAGCTTTCTGATAAAGGTGGAACTTTCTTGCCTCGAACACCACTGAGTCCCAGTCGTAAAGGTATATTCCTTGAAGTTTTTTAAATTTATACGTGTTCGGAAATGTGTCGTTTCCTCTTCCATTCTCTCCTAGTTTCATTGGCTCCTTCAAGGGTTGAAAGCAACGCTTCCTCATTGGCCATGAAAGACAGTGAGGATGGTCCAATTGTCTTGCAATGGTTGAACCATCAAATAGCAATCTTCACATCACTGACGAGTGAGGTTACTCCGTTTTCAATCAGACCGCCTATTCCGTGGGAGGTAAGCTGACTTCAAATGGATTGATGTTAACTGCATAATGTCAACAAATATATTGTTGAGACTCCGTTAACAGCACCCTTACCTCAAAGAATATGCCATAAGTAATGTCTGTTAGGATCTATGGAGCAATGAAAGAATGAAGTGAAGGATTTATCAAAAGAAACAGGAAAGATAGAGTAGACAACTCTGGATTGATTAACCGATTATTTTGACACCAATTCGTGTGCGCATTTAAATTTCTTGTTTAAATTCTATTGCAGATGAAGTGACGTCAGCGAACTCTCTTAGTGTAACTATTCTTCATGGCGTATCTAAATGTGTGTTATTCTGGTTCAAGGAAAGGTAGATTTGGATAAATCAAATAGTCCCATGAAGAGATAAAGAGGACCATGATAATGAAGAAATAAACAATATTACGAACTCATTAGGTTGTGTAATTATAGTCATTCGGTACATAGAAATCGTTATTTTGTGACATTTCTGAAGATGATGAAAATGTAATATCGATTGACTTTGTAGTAAATTCAAGTATTTAATAATGTGTATTTTACTACACCAAGGTGCCCTATCCAAAGTACAATCCAATTTCATGGACCCCTCGAAAATGCATGGTTGTCCACTGGATCAATGGAAATGAGTCTCCGAATGTGGCCAAGCCACGCAAGACCTCCTATGCCTCTTCAACTGGCAACAATGGTGAAAACGATCCCAAGAATCCAGAAGGTCGAGTTGGAACAAAGGGAAAGGGATTGCTTCCAGAAGAAGGTGAAAACGCGGCCTGCGTACTAGTTGTTACTCGTGGTGCAAGTGATGAAGAGATACTTGTTTTGAAAGGAGTTCATCATCACGCTCAATTTCCCTGGGTAGGCCATGGTTCTTTTGACCTAAGTTGGCCTAATTACTTTTACTAAACTGAATTATCGATTTCTTTGATTCTAGTTCCTCTGTCTTCATCCTCAGAGCTGCTCGCAAACAACGTGTTATCGTGGACTGATTCGACTCTTTTGTCAGTCAACAATAAATGATGAGGCAGTTCATAAAATCGTCATTGATGATTTCGTTGCCTACTTTGTTAAATATGTGGGTATTTTTGGACTTGCTTATTTGCATCTGCCTCCACAGAATTGGGCTAAAAATAGGCGTTTTGTAAAATTTTTAGGCGAAAATAGGAGTGGTATCGGATCCGATAAATTGTGATAACGCCTGGATCAGTATTACAGCGATTCATATTCAAATTCCAATGGAATACAAATTGGTTGAGGAGATAGANCAAGTGAGTTAACTATTTGAAATATTGATAGCCTTGACATTTTTCTCAAGTTGGTTCCATGAGAGTTGAAGTGAAATTTTAATTTTAAATAAGGAATGTGATTCCGCACGTATTAATTCTCCTGGTCTCCCAGTATCTTCCCAAATTTGAGTTTATTGGTGGAGATTAATATGACTTGAAATTCAAAGAGGGTATGAATAGAATTTATATCTGTTTTGCTAAATTGAGTGTGAGCACATGCAGTCGGAGAGATAATTAATTTCGCCACAAGTTTAAAAGAAACAGAAGTTTCGCTGAAACAACTTGCAGATAGATATCTTCACTCCAGTTAGCATGTCTTGTGAATGATTTTTGTTTAAAATGCGGAGGTCTATGCTTTGTTTGGTGTCATATGAAAGTCACTGTGACCTTGTGGAAGAGAATGCACTGACTGTTATTATGGCCATACCACTCTTCAATTATGCAACGTATAAACCCCAGTGTCCTCAGAAAGATAGCAAATCTCGACTGGATCCTGTCTCAATACATTGCCTAGTTACATCAGAGGGTGGAAAATAGAAGATTCAAGACTCAAGTGTGTGGAAAATGAAAAAAATCACTTTAACACACATTGAATTAGTGGTTTTGAAAGTATTGCCTTAAAATTTGATTAAGAAGCTGAAGCATCTCAATCGATTGGAAGTGGCCTTCAGCATTGTAGAATTCTGTTGCATCAGTTGGTACAGATTTGCGTGAATGACAGTAGGAGTAGATGGAGCAATGACGTGCTCACAAGTTTCAATAGCCTGTTTATGTATTGCGAATTGTACAACTAGGAAGGTAGATGGATACGTTCTTTCCATTCTTTCTTAGATGCTGACGGTACAAGAGTGCGCGGTTTCATGGGTTCCGAGAGAAGAGTTACCGAAACTTCGAAAAAGTCATCTGGAGGCTATGGAAGCCGTTATTTAAAAAAAAGTTTTTTGCTTGAAAACTTCTAATATGTCTTTAATGTTCCTTTATTTACCTATATTATTATATATTCCAAATGACAGTCCAGTTGCTTTAAAAAATTCTTTTCCAATGAATTGGGTTTATCATTGAAGCTGTTTTGTGATTATACCTATTCAGTCAATTGGTGGCATTTACCTATCCTCTGTTTGTCTATCTTTGCATAGTTCATCGTCTTTATTTAGACTTACTAGGAATCTTAATGCTAATCTAATGATTAAACTGTACCATTTGTCTTAGACGAAATTATCCACTTCGGAGGCTGTGGATACTTGTACATCTTTTAATATTAATCAGGAATGTGCAGCGAATGAGACTGATTGAATGTAATTTAAACGAAGAGCTACCCATTTAAAAGTTATGTAACAAAATAATTTTCAACTTTAAATTTATTCTGTAATAATTAGGAATATGTTAAACATTTTGAGTGGCTTTTGTCGCATTAATTGCTTTCATGTGTTTATCTTATTTAACGACATGGCAACGCAAACATTTGCTGAAATTGCGATATTTAGCCTTCTTTACTCATATCGATGATACATAGTTCGCCACAAGTTAACAAATCAATCATTATGGATAGTAAAGATGGTTTGAAAAAAATTAACTTTGAGGTATTTGGCAAAGTACAAAGTAAGAGATTACCTTTGTTAAGTAAATATTTTATAGGAGTATTTTTCAGAAAAGTACGTAGGAATTACTAATTTGTAACATAAATTAGTACACAGTGGCGACAGCCAATAAGAATGATGTCGTTGGATGGGTGAGGAATACAACCAAAGGTTCTGTTGAGGGTGAAGCTGAAGGAACAACTATAAATATTAATAAATTGTAGGTAGTTAATAGTTTAACTGAATTTGTAAAATAGCAAATACTGGCTTTCAAATACTGGAAGTCCAAAGTCACGAATTGATAAATGCGAGGTTAAAGAAATGAATATTGAGAAATTGACTTTCACCACATTTAAAATAGTCCACTGAGGTTAATAGAAGTATAAGCTAATGTAATTCTAAAAATATAGCATGCTGCTAATACTTCACTTTATTTTCGAGTTTTATGTTCTTGTGTGGCAGTGTTTAATAGCTTAGATTTATGTGTAGCTTTAGGAGTATCTCAAGTGTACTGAATAAATGAAAAAGGAAGTGATAAATATAAATAGATAAATAAATATAGTTTATGATCCAAACCTAGACTTATTTGCAAATTGATAAAAAAATTATCCTAAGAAATATAAAATGCATCATTAATTTTGATATTCTCTCTATCAAGCAAGTTAAATTTTGATGTAATTGGAATGTTTGAAATTTATTCAAGAGTAACTTAGGCATTTCGTTTCATCGAATACGTTAAGTATTAAAAACTTGCTAGTAAATTATTGAAGGTTAAGCTTAATTCTTCTCCCATTGGCTGCTTTTATCTTAGTCTGTCTCCCTCTTGTTTCTCGTATGGCTGGCGCTGGAGCATCTTCGGAAGGCCTTAAGCGAATACACTTTGAAGTCTTCGGTTTAGTTCAGGGTAAACTTATTATAATTTTAACGCTTTGTTTAGGTGTATTTTTTCGAAAAGTTTGTTTACATTTATGCAAACGCATGATTTAGTATACACAATCCCAAGCGAAGGAGTATAATCTTGTCGGATGGGTAAGAAACAACCGCTCTGGAACTGTCGAAGGCGAAGCAGAGGGAGCTGCTTTGCAAATTGACGATTTGTAAGTGCTTTTCTTTGGTAACTTAATATTCGCTTTTAGCAAGAATTGGCTTAGATACAAAGGAAGTCCTCAATCACGTATCGACAAGTGTGTTTTTGCATTAGAAGAACCAATTGATAAACTAACGTATAAGTCATTTAATATTGCTAGAACTGAATAAATTCTATATTTATATTTCAGAGATGTACAAATTTTCGTTCTTTTTAATAGATTTACATTCTTGTTTATGTTTTATTATGCTATGGTCATTTGGAGTTTATTGTTGTTGTTCATATTTCTGTTTTTTTAACTTGTATCTTGCTGAATATTTAGGAGTCGACATTGACATTTTATTAATAATGTGTGGGGTACGCATTTCTATCAGTATTGAACTGCGTAAGCGAATTATAAATCCTTTGAATAAGCGCTATACGTCTTATTCTTCCAGCTCAAGTGGATAGTTTGCTCAGTTCCTGGAGCCTATCTGCACTAGGATATTTTGTCATAGAGATCACTACGAAGTATTCAGGGCTTATTTGTGTAACAATTCGCTACAAATATCAATACAAAGTGCATATGATGTAAAATACTGTATTTATTATAATCTTATTAAAGATTTCATCTGTTTGAATAAGACAACACAATCACAATATTTCGATTGAACGTTTATTGATAATGCTGATTGAGATCTATCCATTTTGGACTGCTAGTAGCGCTGCTAAATGGCTGCTTCTTAACAACGGAGTGTCATTCACTTTGACCCAAGTTGTTATACCTCCTTTCATCGTAAAGATCTACAAAATATATTCTACCATGTCTAGTCTTTTATGTATATGTATTTATATCGATGTTGACTCACCTGTTCGAGTTCCTCAACAGATGAGAAAGTTGCATTTATTCTAAAATGTATTGCTGTTGCGTCGAGCCACGCGCTGTCACAGTTCACCGGATCGGAAATGGCGCCGATGTGTACCTTAGAAAGAAAAAATGGCTCATAGTGAAAAAGAACCAGTTCTCTTAGAAATTTTAAAAGACTGTGAACATTTTCGGCGTAGGTACTTTATCGTGAGTCTGCAATCAACAGATTTTAACAATCATGCTTCCTAGTTAAGTAGTAGGTATCTAAGGCTGTTTTAATGAAGATCTGTGCAACTTATACCATAGTTGGACCTGATGTCTTGTATGGGGCTGCCTATTCGGAACGGCAACCGGTTTGATGCATGCTTAGAGGAGTCAAAAGCATTATAATCGCAAATCTATCTATTTTACTAATACTTCAGAACACCAGAACTTGTTGCCACAGAAGTAAGTAGATGTGGTTGGAAGATTGCTATTCTTGTCTCATTTAATATGAGTTTATTCACCTTGATTGCAAGTTAATCCATTTTGCGCGCTGATTCACACAAGTAATAGCAATGACTAAAAGGCAACTCACATTCTTTATATATCCGGCAATGAATCGCATCAAGGTCTGAGAATCCTTTAATTCCGATTTTCCACTTACCAATTGCTCACAAAATGCCCTCACCAGATCCTTGAAGCAGGATACTTGATTGCAATCCCTTTCATGGTGACAGAGGAACTATGTAAAGAGATAAAAGGGAGGGATGTGGGGGGGGGGACATTAAATGATAATCGTGGTTATCTATGAGTGGCTTAATAGACTCACCCACGGAAATTGAAATTGTGCACGAACACCCTTGAGAACAAGAAGTTCTCTTCCACCACCTTCTACCTCTTTTTCAACAACGACGATACAGGCTGGATTGCCACCAAACTGTGGAAGAAGACCTTTTCCAGAAACACCAACTCGACCCTCTGGGTTTCGGAATTGAGAGGACTCAGAAGAACCCTCTGGGGAAGAGGGAGCCAACAGATTTGGTGCCTGTTGAATCACATCCCCCTGGAGATTTCGACTTGAGGTGGTAGGTATTTTTTCTAGAGGACATACTAGAAAAGCCTCATTGACAGTTAATTGCCAAGCGGGGATTAGAGCTCCACTAGGTCTCCAGCGTAGAGGAGAGTATTCAGGAAATGGCACCTGGTGGAGACAGTGAGCCACATATAAGTTTTAATGTCAATGCAGCATCTTAATTTTGCTCAAATATCCAGCTACGTGAATTCAATGACCTTCTCAAGGATTGATATATCTGCAGTAGAAAGGAGAGCTTGCCAACAAAATGTCTATTCAAAGTTGATCCCTCACTCGAAGTTATACGCCGAAAATCATATTTTCATGTGAGATTTAACACGGATTACTGAATCATGTTTACTTTAAAATGGCTTTAAGTAATACCAACTGATAGTATTTGTCTACGAAGACAGAAATCACATCTTTAATGCTCATTGGTGCTCTTCCAAGAGAGCGGATTAGATAGCAGAATTGGCCTAGTCTGGCTTGAAAGGGGGTGGTTGAAATTCAGCTTCCCATCGCAAATTGACAGTGAGCCAACACCCTACTCAGAGCGAATGCTCGAGAGCGTCTTCCTAATGGCCATTGAAGTTGCTTTAGTGCTTATTACGTCCCATCTTCTATTGGAAAATATGGTGTTGTGTGACACATCATCGCCTACGCATGATCACATGCGCGTACACCACGATATAGGTCCTTGCGACGCGTTTGCTTCCTTTATAGCCGGGCTGTAGCTTATCTAGGTCTGAGAGACTAGCCAGATATAGGAGATTCTGCTATATGGATTTCTGAGTCAGTCAAGGCGTTACTGGTATAGTGATCCGGTACAGAGTATTTTAACTCTAATTTCAAGATTTATAAATATATTATTAACCCCTCATATCACTTATTTGGAGATTTTATTTGTTTAAAATAATTTTAAATGGGTTTTAAAATATTAACTAAAATGCATAATATTCAAGGCACTCGAATCTTAGTTGCATATAACGCTAACAGAGAAATAATCCAGGGTAGGGGGAAAGAAATGCTGTGGAGTAACTTATTTTTCCCATTTTTTACTGGAAAGCCTTCCAGGTGCATCTAGGTGCATTAGTTTGCACCTAGTTGAACTTCCTAGGGGATTGTTAAGGTTGAGAAGTACAGAACAATAACACGGTCAACTTGGTCAATTTCACGTGCTCATTGGCACTGTGGATCGTGCGGCCTCGATGGTAATTACGCAAGGGGCTAACGAAACCACGATTAAAGAGGCCTCTCGGCCAATCAATAATCAATAGGGATTGGAGGGTCAGCGTACTCCAAACTGTGTTTGATGACTAAACTCTGTGTTAGTATCATCATCACCACAAACATTCTGCATTCCAATTTAATCCAAGGTTATATTTTGCCATAGAGATTGGTGAAATTTAGTCAAGTTTTATTTTTGTGAAGCAAACAGCTACACTGATTATTCTTAGAAACATTTTCATGGAGCCAGTTACAATATGTGCCATTCTGGTAATTTGCCAATAGTCAATAGAATTAATTCAACTTAAAGCTATGGTTACAAAGTTAGCATTAATTGCAATTTTCCTAGTAATTGCATAAGCACGAAAGTAGCTTCAAAAATGCCACGAGCCAAGAAGGTATTTAAATAAAATAAGGAAATACGAAAGAAGCAACCAAATTTTGAGAGTTTCCTTAACAATCCAGTTCTCCTACCTCCAACGAAAGAAAATACGGCTATTATAAAGATCAACGTCTTATCGCATTTCAATCTTTTACCCAGCGAATTTCCTTTGCTTAGATTTGTACCACCAATATTACCTTTTGAATTAAAATAAACTCCATGAATAGAGCCGATCGATAAATAAAAGTAGTAGCTTGCAACGATTCGGAGCTGTGGGGAACACAACTTTAGCATGATGAAACTAGAGACCTCTCGACCAATTGACAGCCAAAACCCAGTAGATGGTTACCCGACCAATCAATGGCCCAAGGCATTGAGTGGTTACCACGCCAAAAAGTGTATTTCATGACTAAGTTCTCCGTAAGTACTTGCATATCTCAAATAAATGGGATTAACGTGATATGACTGATTACTTTATAGCCCTGCAGTAGCTTAGCTAATTCTGAGAGTCTTTAAAAACACAAGGCTTATTAGTGTAGCAATCTGTTACAGATCTTAGCACGTATAGAGTGAAGATAATCCCCAGTCTATGTAAGACTACATAAGTAAATACGATCCCAATGCACTTATTCAGGTAAACCCATGGTGAATATATAAAAATGTCGTAAAAAGACTTACTTCCCATGGTACCGGTGGATTTAAGGTATGCGGTGTAATATCACTATTTAGAGTGGCGTAGAAAGCCAGTTGATGATTGTGCCACTGGAAAGAGATCGGTGGTTCCATTCCATCGTTACCGCTGCACAAAGATTGTCTGCTCAAAATTACTTCAAATTAAAAAGCGGAAACACTGTCAGGAATAGATCAACTAATTGCAATACTGAAGAATGTTGGAAATAGGTAACATACATCTTGATGGTGATCGAGAGAGAGTTTCTCGATGTTTGTTTTTTATCTGTAACGATAAAATTAAAATAACATTGCTACTTAAATAAGTAAGTACAGCAAATATCGACAACACCTACAACCACTTGATATTCCATTCAATTCTAGTCTTCTTGATTTAAGATAAAAAGACAACTTGTTTACATTTCTGAAGTCATTGTCTTTTGCTATACCTAAAATTCTGTCTTTTCGATGCATATAAAGGTAAAACGGTGAGTTCCATGCAACGGTTATACATCTTTATAATAAGAAATCTTCAAATTATTTAACTCTTAGGTCCCCGTGGACATCATTTCCTTTTTAATGGTAATGTACGCAGTGTTTATATTGATTATCGATTTATTGGCTTCTTGCAAATTACTTAATATTGCCGAATTTCACTATGCACACTTTCAATGCTTGTTGCAAACCATTGGATGTTCAGTTCGCTGATATTCGTTAATATTCCAAGATGAAAATGTAATACAAATTCACATTTCTGAATTCCCGCTGACCTCTATTTGCTTGGTCATCTAGTTTTACAAATTACTCTAAACGCCGGAAATATTAGAAAGTTTTAATCTTCCATGATATTTACCGACACTACCAACTTCTTCAATCCGAGACCACGGAGTGTGTATAAATTTCGCGAATTTTTAATAGGAAAGCTATCTTTCATATGATTCAATCAAAATATTTCTCAATTATTTGAAATTTTCCAGCTACATGCTTACGAAATTCATCATTTTTTCAAGAGCCGAGTCAATATTCTCAATTTTCTGCTCCAGACCCGATTGCTTCGCTCCATTTTTATTTTGATCAGTTGGCCGAAAGTGTCGTCGTAGAATCTGCCAATGTTTCTCATAATTGCTGCGTGCTACTGCTCTCTGGGCGACCTCATCCTTTCTACTTTTGCCCTCTACATCATCGTCGACCTCCTGGGCACCGGTTCCAATGAGAGCGTTCAGTTTCTCCCAGTTAATAAGCTGGCGGGCTCGAGCTGAGGAATTGTGAAATGATTTTTCTATTGGGAGGGAATAAATCAAGGTTGAGAGTAACGTAGTACCATAAACAGCCTAGTAATGGTAAAGGAGACAAAACATTTTTTTGCAGTAGGATATCTACACTACTGTTACAAAAGGTAATTTTCTCTTTGAAATAGAAAGTAGTGTGTTTGAATTGCTCCAAGTCAAAGGAAGCCGACTTCTTCTTTCGATTAGACGGAACTCGACAGAACCTTCAAAAATTAGATCGAGAGCAATTTTAACCATCGAATCTCTTCGATTTGTCATTAGTAAGATACGACAACATGGAAATTTTCTATCTTGTAAGATCACATCATTCCAAGTGAGCAGACGCAACAAATGTGCAAATTCAAAAGTTCCGCATTCTATATGGAATAACTACCCTTCCCACCAACTTGAAGAATACCTCGTTTAGTATGTTTAAATTCCCATTCCTAGTCATTTACTTTGTTCACTATAGTTTGTTCTAAGTCAAATGATAATTGCATTATTTCTTGGTAAATTCGAGATGTTTCTACATTACTCATATAGCGGATTTGTTACACGAATGAGCCACGACTAAAATCAAAAGTTATCTGGCTGATTTTCCTAGTCGGAATCAAGATGATAGAGGGAAGGAAGAGGAGTAGCCATTGGAACGTTAATTACAAATTGAAATATCAGCAAACGTGATTAGTTATCGCACGCATGTTGCATAATTTTGAGGGAACGTTAATGTCATTTTATCGGAGCAGGATGCATCACGCACGGCCGCACATTCCAGAATGTTCGGGTGTGCATTTTACCGTGTGCGAATTGCGTACGCCATTGATTCAATCACCTCTTATTTTTTTATTACTACCAAACTACGCCTTTTGGCTGATTACTAATATGCGGATGGCCCTGTGACGAAGCCAATTTACCGGCAGTGATTGCACTCTCTTCCCTATATTCTCTTGAAGTGGGGTGTGGGATAGACTTACTTCCTCCTGGTGCACCCTGAGCAAAGTATAATCATACGTCAAAAAAGTCTGACTTCAAACTACCTTCACCCCAACTGTATGGCATATTCGATCCCCTTCACAGTACTCATCTTACCCCTTCTGAGCCTTTGTATTTGTCTGTTTCTTTTACAACTGTGAATCACTCTTCTATTCCCCCTCCCGAATTCTTCTCACTTTGATGTTCCTCTCCCCTCTGTGAAGCCCGAGGTCAACTAAAGGGCTAATGATAACTATCAAAACGCCTACCATTTTATAAATAAATAAATAAATTTTCTCTTGAAGCTAAATGCAGAGACTGAGAGGGTGCGTAAAAGTTCCGACGCGGAGAGTCAATTCTGTCTTTTACAAAAGCCTCTAACTAATAAGTCATCTAGGTAAATAGTGCCCCTTTCAGTATTAAACTTTGCTTACGAAAAGGTCTCTGTGCAGCGCTGGTTGCGTCGCCAACCCGCGGACTAAGGCGTCGGAAACCACTTCTGCAGCATTGAAATATGAGGGGAAATATGGAAAGGGCTGCGGGTAGAACCGGTTGAGATAGGATGCTACTAATCAGAACGTATCTTTGCATTGTCCAGAGTTGCTGGGATTCTGCCTCCATGTCGTCATAAGTTTTTCTACAGTGAAATCAAAAGCATTTATTAATTTGATGCTATGCTAGTATCCAGTACGCACATCGAAGACCTATCAATCACCTGCCTTAGGGTTCGTCAAGATTATAACGCAATTAGCCTTTTTTTGAGATTT